AGAACAAAAGCACAGAGTTGTGTTAGGCTATTTTGATTACCCCATTACAGTCACTTTACAGTCAGTGCTATCATAAAAATAGAATTGTAGGTTTAAAATTCTACATGTCACATTTATTGTCCAACTACAAATATTTCAGCAAAATGTATATTTTAGTCAGAATTATTGCGCTCCTATTTCACTGAGCTCTGTCTGTTTGGCGCGCATGCGCACGGTGGCGCTTGTTCACTGAAGTCTGTGTGAAGTTTAGCGGAGAATCCCAAAGCAGAAGGCTCATGCACTTCTGACATAAAAATGGAAATATTTCCATGACTTTCTAACATTTACAGACGGAGAATATACCTGTGAAATGTAAGTTATGCATCCAGGAAGACCGCACATCTCAAACACATTAAACAGCGCGAGTAGCTGAGTGTCTCTGTCAGCGGCACATGCAGCCTTTCAGTCAGAGCATATGACGGGCCGAGCCGCTTAAACTAATATGCGAAACGAAACTATAAATTATACTATGTCTTACCAGTTTTTAAAGGCCTTAATATGAAGCTTGTCACATGTTTAGAACAAATTGGATTATGCACTTTCTCCGCAGCAGTTCAGTCTGTGTCCTCCGCTATATTTTCAGATGCACTCGTATCAAACTACTGTATATCGATATAAACGGTATTGCCATTTTCAAATTATTTCAAATTTCTTAAATATTAAATAAAATAAAATTATAATGGCCATCGGCCTCCCTGCTTTCCAAGATATCGGCATCGGCTGTCAAAAAAACTATATCGGTCGACCACTAATTTAAACACTGAAGCGTCATGCTGGAATTCTTGTTCGGTAGCAGTGATCAGTAAATCCCACCTGATTTGATTGGCCATCTTAAACTGGGGGCAACAATTTGGCCATTTCTATTATTGAGAGGGACTAGTCCAAGTCGATGTCTGTTTTAAACCTATTGTTATCCATCAAAACACTCAAGAGACTTGTTCAGACCCACAACTGACTTCACTGACCCACTTATGGCACATTTTTTGTTGTCTTAACTAGAGGCCGACCGATAGTGGATTTTGCCGATACCGATAGCTAGGTTGGACCACACTGGCCGATACCGATTAATTAACCGATTGTTTTAAAATTGATACTGAACAAAACCCCATCTCCTCGCCACAGACGGAGTTCTATCTCTCCTCTTTACCGAGACCTTCCTCCTCCATCCTCATCCTCACCACCTCCCACTCACTCCTCACGCCGCTCCCGCTCTCCGCTCACCCCGCAGAGAGACCCTTCACCGACACCCGTCCCTCGCAGTTCCAGCCCCAGTGCCCGCCACCGCTCCCAGGGCGGGGAGAGGGGGAGATCAGAGCGAGACAGGAGTCCCGCACTGCAAGAGAGACGGCATGAGTGCAGAGATGGTGAGAGTAATTAACGTCACAGAGTAATTATTGAGAAGTGGGGGGGAGGCGTTAAATAAAGGATTACATCTTTATTCATCAGCACATCTCAAACACATTAAACAGCGCGAGTAGCCGAGTGTCTCTGTCAGTGGCACATGCAGCCTTTCAGTCAGAGCATATGACGCATATGAGCATATGCACCCCTGCATCATTTAAACTAGTGGTCGACCGATATATCGCCAAGGCCGATATATCGGCCGATATTTGGCATTTTTCCAAACTCTTTTAACAGCTGTATTTTCCATACATGGTAATAAAGTCAAAAACACACTTACTATATCATACTTCTAAAGTTTGTTCCCCCTTGTTTTTAGGGTCTAGATGACCCCCTAGGTCACGAGTCTCCCAGTTGTTTCCATCTCAGCCCATTATGGGATTTTCTTGTCACCCATGTCTTATGTCGAGCCCTAAACCCGTCTCTTCTCGTGACTACACAACAGTTCTAAGTAAACACATGCACTATATAATTTTCCCATAAGCACGCAAGAAAATGCAAAGGTCAATGGAAACGAATTTTTCCACCACAATTCCCCCTTTTTATCATCCATTGATAACTAATAAAACAAAAATTCATTACCATGTATATACTCTTACTAAGATTAAATGTAATAAACTCAGAATAATAATAAAGCAAATTTAAGCTTTCACATCACATTTATACCCTTCATCTCTGATTTTTGTATAAATGATCACTCTCTTAAATTCGTGAAAGAAGTCAGAAAAAATATGCTACGGCTTTTTATGTGGGGACAGACCCTTAATTTTAGCAAGCAAAAGGTATAGACCAATTACTGGTTTGTAAACATTCAGGATGCGCGCGCATCATGGTTGCAGAAAACCCGGGAGAGATAGCCTTTACAGCTAGAGAATTTCACGGATACGGTACAACATAGTTAGGTTTAAAAAGATTATAAATTATATTGATTAGATGTCATTTTCAAAATGTTCTACGCATATTACAAGAGCTTGTCACCCAGCGATAAGCGCTGTTATTCAACGAAATTGACGTTAGAGAGTGCAATAGTCTTACAGATCCGAAACAGGGGTGACGGTTTTTGTGGGCGGAGCCTATCTGGAGGCAGAAAATGACGGTTTTCAAACGTCTACTCCAAATTGGTCTATAGATATAGTTGGGCTAAACACTGGCCAAACGCCCCACGTTTTGAATACAAAGTATCGTTGTCTTCATTTGTTTAACACATTTCACTGTAACTTCCACTACTGGTAGTTTCTCCGTCATCCATTTTCTCTTCACCCATGTCTAAAAACATGTTTTCAGGTTAAACAGTCATTTTAACCATTTGATGTGACCTACCAGACTTCATCAGTCTCTGTACTGAGCTGGATGCAAACTGGAAAATGCAGGGTAGGCACAATAACAACAATAATCCTGCCCCCACAATTGGTAATACAGTATTCAGCAACCAGTATCCCCATCCTCCCCACAGGTTTGCTAACCATTCAAGCCATGCATTATTGGTTCGTTCAGGCTCTTTTACGGCCATTCTCATGTGAGCGATGATGTTGGTAACGTTTTCGCTGTAATCTGGAATATGGAAGCAACATGATGTACCTAGCATTTTACAGACTCCCCCTCGTTCTGACGTAAGCATATCAAGTACTAATCTGTTCTGAATGACTGCATCCCTAATTTGTTTCATCTCATCATTAACCATTGTCAGTGCATTCTCAGTGCTATTGGCTATGGCTAACACAGTCCATGCTAACCCATTTATCTTATTTATACTCACAGCAGTTCCCACCCCCAGGAAACCTGACCACCCTATGTTAGCTCCAGGAGTTGTCCAAGGATTAGATAACACATACCCATTGTATTTTTCTGGCAGAGTCCCTGGTAAACTGTCAACATTCCTTTTCTTTCTACTCTCCCTTGGGTTCACTGCTTGGTAAATACACAGATGTCCCTACATTTATTAATGCTGGATAACAACATCCTGGCCACCCTTTTTCTGGCAAATGATGAAATGCTCTGTCTCCACACACCCACACTACTGCCGGTGAAGTGTCGCTCGGCCTACTGAATGGACATGTGAAGTTTGTCGCCGTCCCCTCGATCATTGCTGTGCAGTTGTTCGCTGTTCCATTCTTCATCTCAATCCTGATCCTGCAGTCAGACCATCCTGCCTTCAGCTTCAATCTCTTACTCCCTCCGCTCCTCTTCCTGAGATGCAGATGGAACCTTCCTGCAGTGGCTGGCGTGAATCCACGTTGCCCTCTCGGCCACCTTTACCGCCGTGTGGGTAGCTAGAAGCACCTGGAACGGTCCCAGCCACCTCTTTGCTCTCCAGCTTTTCCTTCTCAGATCCCGTACCCCCACGAAATCACCTGGTTTTAGGCCATGCAAGGGAGTTTCAGCAACTTTCCCCTGCGCAGCTTTCACCTGCACACAGACATTAGACAACAGAGAGGACATTTCTTTGCAGTAACTCAACATGTCATGCTCACACACCTCTGTTGATGGCAGCTGTTGTTTACCCCCTTTCATACCCATAAATGGTGGTTTACCGAAGAGAATTTCGTATGGGCTCAGGTTTACCCTAGATCGTTTTCTCACGTACATGAGAACAATCGGCAACGCCTTAACCCATGTGAGTCCAGTTTCCTCACAGCATTTAGCCAATTTGTTCTTTATGGTCGCATTTGTGAGCCTTTGCTACTGCTGCTGCGTCCTGTTTGGACGTTGGGAAGACCTCCACCCATTTGGACCACATATCAACCATTACCAGACAATATTTCTTCCCTTCACATGGGGATAGTTCAATAAAGTCCATTTGTAGATATTCAAAAGGCCCTGTCGGTGCCGGCTGGGATGCTTGGGACATTTTTATACCTCTTGCCACATTATGAGTGTTACAAATGACACATCTTTTACAAACATTTTCAGCAAATGTTGTAAACCCCTTCGTAAACCACAATTCTTTTGTGTCCTCATGTCAATTCCCAAAAATTTACCCACCTGTTTTATTGTTTCATTAACAAAATGCGTTCCATTGTCTGAACTGATTTTTCGTGGAATTCCCCATCTTGGAACTATTTCAGTCAGCAGAGCCTTTGCTACTGCTGCTGCGTCCTGTTTGGACGTTGGGAAGACCTCCACCCATTTGGACCACATATCAACCATTACCAGACAATATTTCTTCCCTTCACATGGGGATAGTTCAATAAAGTCCATTTGTAGATATTCAAAAGGCCCTGTCGGTGCCGGCTGGGATGCTTGGGACATTTTTATACCTCTTGCCACATTATGAGTGTTACAAATGACACATCTTTTACAAACATTTTCAGCAAATGTTGTAAACCCCTTCGTAAACCACAATTCTTTCATTTGTGCAATCATTCCCCCTTTCGATGCATGGTCCTTCCCATGCATTGACTTAGCAAAATGAGGAAAGAAGTGTCGAGGTAAACCAGGCTTGCCATCACAGCTCATCCAGACACCATCATTCATTTTACAGCCGCAGTGCTTCCACTGGTCTTTTTCTGCCCCTGAGGCAAAAGTCTGCATGTTCTGTAACGAAGAATAAGTGTCAGGGTTATTTTCAGATAGCATAGTACACTCTGTTTCTCTTGTCTGCTCAGCCACTGCGGCCTTCGCAGCTGCGTCTGCTCTGGCATTTCCTGTAGATACAAAATCTTTGTTATTTGTGTGTGCTGCACATTTACAAATGGCTATCTTCTCTGGCAGCAAAATAGCCTCCAGCAATGCTGCCACAAGAGGAGCATTCAATATTGGGCACCCATCTGACTATAAAAATGTTCTGTGTTTCCACAGTGCTCCAAAGTCATGTGTAACTCCAAATGAGTAGCGCGAATCCATGTAAATAATGGCACATTTGTCTGTCATGAGTTTACACGCCTCTGTTAGGGCCACAAGCTCCGCTGCTTGTGCTGAATAATTTGATGGCAATGAGCCAGAAGCCACAACTTCAAATTCAGTCGTTACAGCATAGCCAACTTTGTTCAGGCCTGTTTGTGGATCTTTGAAAGCTGAGCCATCCACAAAGAGGACATTCTCACAGTTTTCAAGTGGTACGTCAGAAAGATCTGGGCGTGGCGTACACACCTGTTCAAGTGCGGTCAAGCAACAATGGTGCTCCTCCCCATCCGCTTCCGTCGGAAGGAGAGTAGCAGCATTCAACGTAGTGCATCGTTTAACAGTGATATTCGGCATATCAAGCAAGATAGTGTGATATCGTAACCACCGAGCCGTTGATAAATGCAATGTTTTCTGTTCTTGCAAAATCATGGACACTGCGTGTGGCACCATCAATGTCAGGTCAGAGTAACCTACAAATTCTCTAGACGCCATTACGGCCTGTTCAGCAGATGCCACCACCCTCAGACAGTGTGGCAGGCCTGCTGCAACTGGATCTAGTTTGCTTGAAAAATAGGCCACAGGTCTCAATCTGTCTCCATGATGTTGCAATAACACAGAAGTCATAAATCCATTTTTCTCATCTACCATCTGAACAAAAGGCTTGGTTGGTACTGGCAGGCCCAAAGTTGGCGCCAGAGACAGCTGAACTTTCATGTTCACAAATGCCTCTTCTGCCTCTTCTGTCCACTCAATTTTGTCACATGACTTCAACCCCTTCCCTATTGTTAGGGCTCTCAGAGGCTGCTCAAGAATTGCATAATTTGGAATAAATGTTCGACAATAGGAACACATACCCAGAAATGACAGCATTTGTTTCTTTGTGAGTGGTTTTGGTACATCTTTTATAGCCTTAACCCTTTTGTCAGACAGAGATTTGCTATTGGGTGTTATTACATGCCCTAGAAATGTAACCTGCTGCTTCGCAAACTGCAGCTTCGCCATACTGACTTTGTGGCCCTCCTGAGCCAAATGCTTCAGGAGTGTCACAGTATCAGTTACACACGTAGACTGATCTCGAGCACACAGGCAAAGGTCATCCACATATTGTAACAAAGCAGTT